TGTTCTTTCAAAATGCCACATAAAGTTACATTTTTATTGATTTGCTCCTTCCCTGTGCCAATAAATATATAGCCAAAGAAGGTCTTCAGAAAATTTGAGTTATGGAGGCTTGAGAGGGAAAGCCTTTGAGTTAGGGAGGTATTAAATCAAGCAATTAACCCTTGAAAGGCGTGGGTTCCTGGCTGTCCTGCAGCAAAGTAAGGATGGGGGGGGGGGGTAGGGAGATTTCAGTTTGACCAAAGGTCACTGAAATGCCCTATAGGTTGCCAAGGCCTGCATTAAGAAAAATCTGGTTAAAGAATATCACATTGTCTTCAGAAATCCCCCATGTTAATCCTACGCTGGGAATGCATGAAAATGCCACACACCAGTGAGGAATTTTTTTTTTGTGGCCTGAATTTCCTCCCGGATAATGAAAAAATATTGTATTTTTTCCTGACTTAGACCTATTGGTTCAAAAATCATATTTTTTTAATTTGCAGTCCTTATGGGGACAACATTTTGCAAAAATATCCTGACTTTACTGCACAGTGGTTAAAACAGGGACTTTCAACAAAAAATGTAAATACTGTAAAGAGGTATTTGACTTAGAGAGGTTCCAGTTATACCAAGGTTCAACTGTACCATAAATTTTCCTGTTGTATTTAACCACCATGCATTGAGCAACTTGTGCAAAAATTGTGCTGTACATGCATGATAGCTTCTCATAATGTAATAGCTTCACATTATCTGTGAAAAATTGCGCACAACTGAAAAATGGTGTTCACAAAATTTAATCATCACCAAACACAAGAAATTACAGAGTTTAACAAAGAATGAATTGTTCAAATTCATAAGAAAGGTTCATGACAGAAATTCAGCGGCAAAATTTTTGGCTGTGTCTCTCAGCAGGAAAATATACAATAGCTTTCCATAAGGTATACAATTACACTCACCCAAAACACGTCTTTTCTGGATGTTGTCCAAAAGTCCCCCTGCCAAAAGCACCACTAGTTCAAAAGCCCCCTCCTGCCAAAAGCCCCCCTTGGTGCAAAAATTGGGGATTACAGTTATTCCTGTAACTCTTGATGGTAAGCTGCACCTTTCACTAGCAGGCCCAGCACAAGGCCAAGTACCAATAGGTTTGTAAGTTGAGTATATAAAGGGATTCCTCACCTGCAGTGGTCATCAGTGATTCTTTGAATGTCAATGCATCATCACTCGCTGACTTCTGCAAAATCTACAGTCCACCTTGTTGATCCAATGGCTGGTGCACTTTGGATCATCAAAAATCAGAAGGGTTGTGAAAAGGCATGCTACAATGGCTATTTATTCATGGTTAACCCTTCTGTGGCTAAGTCGGACTTTTTTTGCAGATTTTTGTGGCACTCCAGAGTGGAATTGAAAAAAACCCCAACAGTGTGTGCAGGGTGAAGTCTGGAAAAATCCTGGCATTTTTTTAATTTTCCACAGAAAAATTTCACCTGAAAATGAAAAAATGAAAGCTTCAAGGCTCTCTTTTTCTTCCCTGGCCTTGTGTTGTTTCCCCATTCAAAGATTCAATTTAAGCTTGAAAGCCAGGAGCCCAGGTTGGAGGTCAATACGGAAAAAGTCCAACTCAGGACTTTCCCAGCATTTCATTATCCCTGGAAAAAATCCGACTTTGCCCTCCCCCACCTGGCAGGGGTTGCATAACCTTGTGCAAAAATATAATGCACACCCATCAGGAAAAAGTCTGACTTAGCCCTGGGATGGAAAGGAGGCTGCTGCCATCCAAGGGTTAATGACACAAATGCCAGTACTAGGTGCTGGAAATGTGCTAATGAAGAAGGAGATGAGATAAGAGGGCCACATTGAGAAGAAAATGTCATTGAAAGCATCAGTGACACTGAGGAAGAGGCAGCAGAAGGAAATTTTGAAGATGATTATTCAACAGTAATTTTGAGGACTAATGAACCAAGCGGCGCATCCAATAAATAAAAAGTGGGGGGGGGGGGGTTTGGCAGTGGTGCTTTTGACCTAGGGGGTGCTTTTGGCAGGGGGGGCTTTTGGTTGAGTACTGTCTTTTCTGGTGAATAAACTCAGAAAAAAAGAAACCAAAAGAGACAAAAATGTTGTTGCTGTCTCCGTGTGCAATGCTAGAACAATGGGTCTCTCGTGGTCCCCAGACTCCGCCTTATGTGATGTGGAAGGAGAACAAGGACGACCTGGTGGGCAACGACAAGTTTGAAGGCTTCTGCATCGACCTGATCCACGAAATATCCAACATTTTGCAATTCAACTACACATTCCGGCTTGTCAAAGATGGCAAGTATGGCTCGAGAGACAAGGAAACCGGCGAGTGGAACGGCATGATTCGTGAACTGCTTGACAGAGTGAGAAACCTTGTTTTTCAAACCCTTATTTACGTGAATATAGGCCGCGTTTAAGGTTGCATATATATAGGCCGCATCAGGAAGGGAAAGTGTTCAGCTGCAGAAAATTTGAATATGAGGGTTGTCCCAGTTGGGGGCGACCTTCCATATATTTGAAGTATTTGTGATTGTAACAAGACATTACGACATAGCCCATAATTTTCTAAGGCTCTCGGAATTTTCGGATTTTTTACAAAGTTTTTCAATTTACTTCACGATGATAAGTAATTTTCCAGTTACAATCGGAGTTCTCCACTAATGTCACAGAGAGCTAAAAAAAAATTTCAGGCTAGATGATGAATTGGATTTTCCTTGCTTTACTCATTATCTAAAATTTAGAAACAATAATGGTGCTAGAACAAGATAACATTTTCATTTTTCAGCTGGCAGAAACAGAATCAGGCAATGACGTGATAATTCAAAGAGCACTTTTCCTAATTTCTAACCCCATACAGTTGATGTTTTGAAAGATTATTTGAAAAAGAGGAGGAGGAATTTTTAGAAAACACACAATTCATTTGAAAGATATACTCTTAACATGGAACAGGTGATACCTCACAATTTTACCATCCCGTATTTTTATGGTCAAATTTGCAGGAAGGTTTACTATAGCAATACAAGCCTTGCTTTGCAATTTGATCTGCTTTGGCCACTTTTTTGCATTTTTGCACTCAAATTACACAACGTGTCTTGCAATTTGACTGCTTCACCATTTGACCATAGTTTTGTAATGAATTAGGATCAAATTGCAAGGTACTTTCACTGAGGTCCATGGTTGAGGTCCATCAAAATGCTCATTCCTAAAAAAGTATCCATGTTGAATTGAGTTTCTTTTGTTTTCAGGAGGCGGATTTGGCAACAGCAGATTTGACAATTAGCTATGAAAGAGAGGAAGCGGTTGACTTCACAATGCCTTTCATGAATCTGGGTAAATACAAAATTCCTTTGAATTATTTTTTTCCTATTCCAGTGCTCAGTCAAATAATTAATCCTGTAATATCAATGTTTTAACTCTTTTTTCCATTAGGTATTGGAATATTGTACAAAAAACCTGCCAAGAAAGCTCCCAACTTGTTCAGTTTTCTCTCCCCATTGTCTCTGGATGTCTGGATCTACATGGCTACAGCGTACCTTGGAGTATCTGTCATGCTTTTTGTTATAGCGAGGTACAGTACCGTATACTATTTTTTCAGTTTGTTGAGAAAGGTTTTTAGAAAAACCGTATTTACTCAAGTACCACGCACACCAATTTTTTTCATTTGAGACTTCTGGAAAAAGCCTATCCCCAAGTGATAAAACCATTTTTAGTGATGAGTGTAAAACCAAAATACAGTTGACCCCCATACAACAGATTTCTGCACAACAGACCCCCTCTGGAGGCAGTTTTCCTTCCTGCACAATGGACTATATCTGCATAATAGATTTTTGTTGGCTTAAAAAGAATTGTAAAAAGTAAACTTTTTATTTTTTAGAATTGCATCTGCATAAAAGACTTTTCGCACAACAGACCAGTCTGTTGGACAAAGTTTGTTTGTTTTGCAGGGGTTGGCTTTATTTCAAAAATGAGAGCATATACATGAATTCAGCATCAATTTGATTATATTACGATCATTTTCATTAAAATGCGGTTTTCTCTTGAAATTGATTTACATAATTTTGCATTAGAATCAAGTGGAATGTACCCTTGAATTTCTTGAACTTTTTAAGCCCTTGGGTAGCTAAGTCAGCCTTTTTTTGTGGAAAAAATGCCTGTGAGGACAGAATTTGAAAAAGCATTACTGTGTGTTGAGGGCAAAGTCTGGAAAAATCTTGGCATTCTTTTCTTTTTGGGCAAAGAGAAATTTTAATCAGAAATGAAAGAAAAAGTCTAATCAAGGGAGAGTTTTTTCAATCCACATGTCTTTGCTAAGTCTAAAACTAAGAAGATACCCTCAAGGGTCTTCAGGATTTAATTTTTGGCTGGAAAATCAAGCATACCAGTACATCAGGTCATGATGACGGACCAAGTCAAAATTTGGAATTTTTCAGCAACTGATAATCCTCAGATGAATCCACAAAAATAACAATAAAATGTAATGGCATGCCAAAAAATCTTGACTTATTTAGCCCTAGGATGCTAAAGAACCCGCCTTTACCGCGCAGAATTTTCCCCCAATGTGACCCTTTTTTCTCGAATTTGAAAAAATTGTTTGTGGTACTTGAGTAGATACAGCTTTTATAATATAGAATATATTATTACATGCCACAGGTTCACGCCCTACGAGTGGGACAACCCCCATCCTTGTGTGCAAAATCCCCCAGCATTGGAGAACCAGTTTTCTTTGCTAAATTCCCTCTGGTTCACGATTGGGTCTCTCATGCAACAAGGATCCGATGTCGCTCCAAAGTGAGATATTTGTTTCCATTTTTAGACACATACGGAATAAAGGATTTTACTAACCCGGTTTTTCTGTAGCTATATTACAGCTAATTTATTCTGGGATATTTTAACCAAATAGTCCTGCATGTGTGTGTGCGTGTGTTCAGTTGTTCACTAACATTTCAGAGGAACTGAGGAACGCTTTTATTTCGACACGGGTTCCGAAGCGAGGTTCCATATATTGACGGTGAGTGAGATCTTTTTATTTTAATTAGTGTCGCTTTTATCTGGATTAATTCGTGAGGTGAATTAACGCAAATGGCTTGGAGGTGATATTTTATGGTCTGAATAACACCGCTAACATCATAAAAAATGAATCCTGAAATCAACGTTTGGACGATTATTTTAGTCCGTTTTTTTCCGACTTGAATTTTCGGCGTCAATTTTTGAAATTCAAGTCACTTTTTTTTGGATCACTTGTAGAGCAAACTAAAAATTTGAAAATTATGTTACGGCTTGTCCTTATAATTCAGACAACTTTTCTGTTCATTTTCAAACTTAGTAACAATCAAATATCTCAAAGGTCAACGTCAATTTTTATGTTTTGTGTAAATGCATTCAAATACAGCTGGTATACCATATAATTTGACCCTAATCCATTGTCAAACTAGGGTTGAATTGGGAAGCGGTCAAATTGCAAGACACTTTGTTAATCAAAAATATCTGTACAAAAATTCGAAAGAAAATTGACCAAAGCAGGTCAAATTGCGAGGTAAGGGTCAAATTGCAAATTGGCCTCCCGGTAAACTTGACCATCAAATTGCAGGATGGTTGAATTGCAAGGTACCACCTGTGTTATGCATTTTTAATCTACCAATTATTCAGCTAATGTGTTGCAGGAATCCATTTTCAACATGTGTTCAAATTCTGTCTTATCAATTGTTCCATGTCTGGTGGACATATTTTTTATGCTTTTTAGTGCTTTTGATGGTTTTTGGCAAGATACATCTGTTCTTTTTGGACAATGTAAAGTTACAGATTAATTTCATCTGACAGTTTGTTCTTCTTAAAATTCAATAAGGCATGCGTCCTAAAAGATTGTTGAATGTTTCTTCTTCAATTGAAGAGTCGTTTTTTATTGAATTTTTCTTCCATTTTTTTCATTGAATAGGGCTGTGTCAACTAGAATGGTGGCAGGAATGTGGTGGTTTTTCACCCTGATCATGATCTCGTCATACACTGCCAACCTTGCTGCTTTCTTGACAGTGGAGCGAATGGAATCTGCCATTCAAAGTGCAGAGGATTTGGCAAAACAGACCAAGATAAAATACGGCAGTATGGGATCAGGATCCACCAAAGCTTTTTTCAGAGTATGATTTGTTGTTTTGTGACTCATTCTCATAATTCCCTTATAGGACATAGTGTAGAATAACGCACTGTACTGTGTAAATTTCTTATTTTTAGAAACTTGAGATTATCCCTGAGCCAATGATGATACCTTTGTCCATGTAAGTTGGCAAATTGTGACTGCTGTATCTGCAGTCCAGCCTCCATTTAGTGACATTATGTGTCCTGGTGCATTCTGTGGCACTAAGCAAGGGGGCACTAAATTAAGGGTACAGTTTACCCCCGCACAAGAGACTTAATTTTTGCAACAGACTACTATATTAACTTGAATACCATGGCACCTTTTCTTCTCAAATTTCAGAAGAAAAAAAGGGGTGCGCGTCATAAGCAGGTACAAATTCTTCAAGAAGTTTTAGGAAGCTATTTGTGCATTATACTTAATTATAGTGGAGAAATTTGGAAAAAATGTAACAAGAAAACTTTTTTGTACTGAAAAAGTTGAAAATTGATCAGATTTTTTTCAATTCATGTCTAAAGTCAATTTTTTGTTTTTATGTTTGAATTTTTTTGGTTTAGATTCACTAAAAATTGGGGTGTGCATCTTATTAGGGGATAAGATTTTAGCCAAATTTCCAACTGAAAAACCCCTGTGTGCATCTTACTTGAGGGTGTGTGGTACTCAAGTAAATACAGTAGTTACACAATATTTGAGTTTGCACTATAACATTGGGGTTCTTTCAAGAACACAATATGGTACTTTGCACTTTGACCCAAATCTCTTGTCAGACTAGGGTTGAATTACAACATGGTCAAATTGTGAGACACTTTGTAAAATTGAGAAATATCAGCACAAAAATGCAAAAAAAGTGGCCAATGTTACCATCAAATTGGGGGATGGTCAAAGTGCAGGAGGTCAAATTGCAAGGTATACCCCCTGCAGAATGAAATTTGGCGCTATATGAGGGTTGCATTACATTGAGGGTTGACTGTATATGTTGCAAATTTAGTCAGTTATTTTGAAGAACCAAGCAATTTTTCATGTCAGCTTCCTAAGAAACTTAATCTCTGTGCAGAGAGAGCGCCAAATGGCAATTCTCAAAAGACCAAGCCCTAAAAGGGATGAGTTTCAGCAGGAAGTGCCAAAACTTTTCCTTGGATATTTCCATGAGAATTGGGTTTCACCCCAGCTCTCACAAGGAGCAGGAATGGACCTCTGGTTCTTGATTTTCCCAAATCTTTAGAAACCAAAAACAGTAACTGTACTCTAGAACTAAAAAAAAAAAGGATGCTGAAATCAATGCTCAAATCTCAGTGGTTGATTTCTGCAAGAAAGAAACTCTTCTTGAACCAAAGGTGCATGCAAGGGCCTCACTATCTCTCAAACCTCAGTACCATGTGGTTCTACAAATACTCAGCAATTTTGTCATTGAAACTTGTGTGCAAATATATATCAACTTTAGAATAGGGAAGGGTGTTCTCAAGTACCCTGATTGTAGCCCAACTGAATCTTTGTACCCTTCATATTTTCTCATCTTTAAGTAAGGAGATCTAGATCTCTGTGACAGTATACTGATAAAAACTGAGTCAGGCAAGGATTGAATTGAATCTCAATTCTGATTTTTCAATAGGACTCAAAGATAGAGACATACCAGCGAATGTGGAACTTCATGGACAGTTCGAGACCCACAGTGTTCACCAAGAGCAATCAGGAGGGTGTTGAGAGGGTTAAAGCAGGCGGTTATGCTTTCCTCATGGAGTCCACTTCAATCGAATACGTGATTGAGAAGCACTGCGAACTGATGCAAGTCGGTGGACTGCTTGACAACAAGGGTTACGGAATCGCTCTGCCTCCAGGTGCGAAAATCTTGAAGGATTGCATATTTACGAGAAGTTTCTGTAAATTTATTGCAAATCAGTAGCAGAAAATTTTGGGTTACAGGGCGGTTCGAAACTTGGCAATTATCGTTTCGGCAACTTATTTCACGGACTTGAAGAAAAATCCGATCGTATCCGAAGATTTCCGATTCCCAATTTAAAATATGTTTAGGACCTCATTCATTCCCGCGTGTGGAAAGAAATTATTTCTCCCATGATTTTCTGGATGGGTTCTTTGGTTTATGACGACATGACGTCTGAAAAAGTATATGAACGTAACTGTTTAGATGAAAATCTGTGTCTTAAATATTAAGCCAAATGATTTTCAAAATGTTTTGAGTGCTTGGGCAATCTCAAAATTTGGTTTTGTGAAATTGGAGCGCTTTTGTAAAAAAAAATGGCAGCAGTACCAATTTTTTCAATTTTTGTCCTCAAGCTCTTCATAGGGTAACATCAGCTATAGGGGCTTCCAAAAAATGCATAATTTTTGTTTGCTAATACAGGTGGTACCTTACAATTCAACCCTAATCCATTGCTGGACTGGGGTCATATTGTGAAGCAGTCAAATTGTGAGACCATGTCAAATGACATGCTTTCTACATGGTATTTGATGTTTCATGTCTCTAGGTCAAATTGTGTGGCAGAGGTCAAATTGACAAGAGTTGACCTCCCAGCAAATTTGACTATAAAATTGAGGGATGGTTGAATTGCATGAGGTCAAATTGCAAGTTACCACCTGTATGTAATTGATTGACTCTCTTATTCACAAGGACCTTGATGTCAACAACAATTTTCTCAGCATGATAATATTTTTGTGGACCCATGGGGTTCTCTCCCTGTTTTATGTGTTTTCTACAGCAAAATTCTGTCTAGAATTTTTATCTGATCTATGGAATTTTGTTGTAGAGAGAGTCCACCCCAGATTTGCGTTTCTTCTAAAAATGTGATCGAATTCTTTAGAAAAATTGGCCACAAGGTTTCCTCCGCCTACAGGCTTTGATAATTTCTTTGGGACTGGGAGGATTTTTGAGGAAAAAAATTCTGCATTGATCTGAATATTGACGTTTTGCTTTATGATACGTATATAGGTTCCCCGTACACATCGGCCATCAGTAGTGCGATTTTGCAACTGCAGGAGAAGGGTTGGTTTCTTCAGCTGAAGACCAAGTGGTGGAAGGAGAAGAACGAAGGCGCCGGAAACTGCGACGTAATTTCAATTATGCTCATCGACTCCAATTAATTTCTTGTACGAGGGTTGTCCCAGTTGGACGCGACCTCTAATATATTCAGCATAGGTGTGATCGTTTAAAAAAAATTACGACACAGCCCATAATCTTCTAAGGTTCTGGAATTTTCTTTGGATTTTTAAAAAAGTTTTAACATTTTCTGTATGATGGTGATTGAAAACTTTCCAGTTGAAGCCAGCGTTAGATCCACCGCCCCATGTCACAGGGTTCTTGAATTTTCCAGGCTATCCAAAAAAATTATTTTGCTTTGTTTTGACAATTAAATAAAATTTAGAAAAGATAATGATTATAATGACAACAAATTTCAATTCTTCAGCTAATAGCCTGGCAAATTTTCAGGCCTCTGCTGTGGCGTGGATTATTTGAGAACTCTGGCTTTAACTGGAAAATTTTAACTTATCATCATATGCAGTAAATTGAAAAACTTGTTTAGAAATCTGAAAAAAAATGCCAGAATCTTTGAACATCATGGGCTATAGTTTTTTTTTTTTTACAATTACACCAACTCTAAAAATGTTGAAGATGTTAGAGCCTTACCGGGACAACCCTCATATATCCGGATTTAATATTCGTGTTTTCTTATCCGGATTATTACAGACTGAAGCTAGCAAGGCAAGCAGCAGTGCTGCCAGTGAATTGGGTTTAGCAAACGTGGGCGGAGTTTTCGTGGTGCTCATGGGTGGCATGGGCGTGGCTGTGCTGATCGCACTGTGCGAATTCGTGTGGAAGTCCCGCAAACTCGCCATGGAAGAAAATGTGAGATTTTGTTCGATATTTTCGACAAGTGACTGCAGAATTTCATACTGCTTCAATAAGATGATGTGGGAAACAGAATTCAAATTCCAGCATCAGTTCCATAAGATATGATGCTTGGAGAGAAGACTTGTACGAGTACATCACAGGTGGTGTCCCGCAATTCAGCCCCAATCTGTTGCTGAACTATAGGGTCAATTTGAAAAATGGTCAAATTGTGAGACACTCTTTAAAATCAAGGGCTAACAGGAAACAGCCGAAAAACACTAGAAAAAAAGCTGAAACAGGTTGCATTTTGGGAGAGAGGTCAAATTGCAAGTTGACCACCAGGCAAATCTGACGGTCAAATTGCAGGACAGTTGAATTGAAAAAGATCAAATTGCAAGGTACCACCTGTATACAATAACTAAATCATCTAATAACATTTATCAACGCATGACAAAATCTGTCACATGGAAAAACGATTGCTGGGAAAAATACGCATGGATTCCAACAATACTTCAGTTCAATATTATGAATTTTTCTAATCTACAGGCAAAAATTGTGAATGAGAAAATAATGCTAAAATTAAACTCTTTTCACGCCCCAACAATTTTTAAAGTGCAAGGATCATGCACCAGCAGGGTATTTTCTGCTTGTTCGGCATTATCAAAGATTTTTTAAATTATAACTTTAGCAAAATAATGCTCATCTGCATAACAAAATTTGGAACTTCTGGAATATTTGACAAACCTGGATGAGGCAAACAAATGTCTCCCAGTACAGTAATGTTAAAGAAAAAATGTTTGATGGTGTTCCGAGTTCTGAAACTCAAAGAAGTTGACGGAAATACATAACTAATTTTCTCACTCCAGTTTTCAGGACAGGTGTCATTTCTTCCTTCAATACCCTTTGTAAAAGTACTGCACTTTAATTCAACTTACATTTGAGCTCTATTACTAGTTATAATCTCCTTCAAAATTTCAAGTCCGTCGTATGGCACCAATTTTAATTACGTAGACTCGTAGAGAATAAAATACTGTACAGTACTGTACTTCGCCGAACAAGAAAAACGGGTGTCCGGTCACTCAGTGAATAAGTCTGCTAATTTTGAAATGTTTCCTTCTCGCAATTTTTTCCTGCGTCTGTGTGTGTGTGTGTGTGCGTGTGCGTGTGTGTGTGGACAGGAATCTCTTTTCGAAGAGATGGGCAAAGAGTTGAAATTCGCTTTCCGCTGCCGCGGGTCGACGAAACCCATTCCCAAGCACCAAACCCTCAAGCTGAGCAGCTCCCAGGCCAACTTGAGTCGGCAGCAGTCGCAGAAGCAGAAGCAGCAACGACAAGCAGCCCTGTCCAGACAGGCCACAGTGGAAGACGACGACGAGGACGACGACCTGATTGACGAAGAGCTGCGGCTGTCGTCGCCGCCGCCGCCGTCGCACGCGTTGGCGGAAGAGGCGGCGCGGGCCATGTTGCCGCCTCCACCGCCGCCGCCGGCGGCTGGATTCTACCTCGGCGGCGGCTCGTCTCGATCCCCGATGGGCATCATGATGCGACCTACGACCTTCGCTGGCGTGAGAAGGGAATTCATCTCGTAGCCTCGATGATGACGATGACGATATACAGTATTACACTGGGATCGGGAGAAATATAAAGGCGGCCCTTCTTTTTTTTTTTTGCTTCCGACGTACGGAGGGTTTCCCCTTTATGATGATCTTTGTTGTCTGGAATTTTCCTGCCTATAATAATGTAAGATATTCGTTGATTTTTCTCGATTGCAATAATTTTTTATAAAGGAAAAGGCTGATATTCTACTGAGAGTCAAGACTGTTTTCTCTTTTTTTCGAAGTACAGAAAATATGTTCGGATTTTTGAGGGTTTTCCCAGTTGGACACGACCTCTGATATTTCAAAAGTAGGCGTGATTGTAAAATAAAATCATGCTGTATAGCCTATGATGTTCTAAGGTTCTAAGATTTTTAAAAATAGTTTTTCAATGCATTGTATGATGAAAAGAGAAAACTTTACTGCGAAGGCCCAAGTTTTCTGCCCATGTCACAGGATGATACAAATTTGCCAGGCTAGCTTTAAAAAAGATTTTTTGGTTGCTTCAACCAGTATCTGAAATGTATAGAAAAGCTCATACAGTATTGGTAAAACAAGCAAAAAATATTTTCCAGGTAGCCTGACAAATGTTAGCACCCTGTAACATGGGTGAAGAACTCTGGTTGTAATTGGAAATATTTCACTTAACATCAAGCAGTGAAACTAAAAAAAAATCCCAGAACTGAAGAACATCATAGGCTATACCATATGTCGATTTTTATTTATTCATTTTTTACAATCACACCCAATATCTGCAAAACATCAGAGGTGGAGTCCAATTGAGGCAACTCTGGCAGATGCTTGCCCTATGAAGGATGGAGTTGAATAAAAAGCAAATCTCTGCTGTGATCTCCAGAAAAATGTACCCAATCTGATTGGTACTTTTCTGTTATCTCAGTATTGACTTTCCTGTTATCTCTGTACCTTCCCTCTGACCAATTTAACCTGACCATCAGTGTTGATGAGCACGTTTTGACATTCCTTGAAGCCCTGTTGAACATATGGGTGTGCATACCTGTACGTATCCTACAGTAATTCACTCAATTACCAGGCACTCTCGAATAATATGCAAGAATATCTTTTAACTAACATGAGCTGACCTAACCTAACTTTACCTAACCGCCTCCCAAAATCAGTTTCAGCAGAATGCGGAAAAATAAAATTCAAAGTTTATGGTAGGTTGTTGTGATTATGAACTTGTCCTAAAGATTTGTCTGGATGGTAGTACAGTCTAGGAATGAGGTATCGAGATAACAGGAAAGTAACTAAAATCTGATGTCAAAAGAGAGTCTTTTGATTGATTGATTGATAAGCATGATTTATTTGCTGCTTACTGTCAGCATTCACAAGGGTTTGCAACATTTTGCCCAATCATTTCAGGAGTCTGTCCACAATCCTTCCTTCTGCTTATAGTCCAGAATTCCAGAAGTATTTCAAATACTTTAACATGCGGTAATGTGAAAGAAACCATTGCGTCAAAATGAAAAATTCAGAATTTTCTAAGCAAGTTGCCTTTCATTATACAGGCAGGAAAAATCCATGCATATGAAGACTTGCGCAACTTTTGTCCACATTTGCGCGTTTTGATGATGATGGCTGCGGAATCAATCAATTGTTGGATGACCAATCAGTCCCCTGTTATAGAGGATATAAGCAGCAGTCCCTGTTAGCTAATGGGCAGTGTTTTCTTCTCCAAGTTCTGCGAGTCTTTCAGGAGATGAAGTTGCCATGTGCAGACTTGGATATTTGCCAAAACGCATGCATCCCATGGTTTCTGTGAATAAGCCACTTTTTGTACCTTTCTTTATGAATTTACCACTGTTTGTAAATACGGGATTTGTGATTGATGGAACCCCGAGTCTTTGATGAGATTTGCCAAAGTGCTCTTCACATGTCGTATGTTCGGCCAAGAAATGCAAGTAAAAGATGGACTTGAACTTTCAAAGTCAATTTGTCATTAATTTTACCTTGGCTTGAATCTTGATTAGCGGTGAACGTCAACTGAATAAATGAAGATCATCACAGTTGAATGGGGTAACAGGGTTATAAATGTAGTTATTGCAGGTAACTAATGCTCAGAAGATTAATGCAAAACTATAATATTGCAGCATGAAAAAGCATGCTGTATAGAGTGAAGCCTTAATTGTTCAAATGAAGCTGTGTTATTTTGGGACCTGATGGAAAAAATTGTTTAATTAGAAGTTTGTTAATTGCAAGTTAAAACAAATAATTTGGGACCTATAGAAAATACATTTATGATCAAAAATTTGTAACAACAAAATTAAAATTACATCATGACTATTACTGCTACTGGACAGGGACCTAAATAATTCATTATTGTAAGCAATCACGCATTCTATAACAATATTCGGCCGTACACTGATGAAATTTTTTTTTTATTTTGATAACATCATATTGGCTATTGAGACCTGAAAAACAGATTTGTTGTAATAAGATTCTCCACTATGGTATAGCTCCTCATCTAGCAAATGCACGTATTCACAAACCATTATAACTCATTTCAATAATCTTGGAGCAACAAAGATATTGAGACAACATAAAAAGCATTCATTATAGAAGAGCGTCATCGCATCATGGCTGTCTGAGTAGAATGAAATATTTTTTTAAGATGGTGGCATGGCCTCTATGAACCATGAATGTCCCAAAACATTGAATAATTTTGTTTTTCAACCTCAAGATACAGAAAATAAGTGCAGAAAAACCACACAGAATTTTGTCGTTTGGCACCAGAAGGAGCTCTGATTATAAGAAGTGAAGAACAAAAACAAGTTTAGCTATAGAGGGAAAAAATTGTAGAAAAAACTCCAAAGAAAATCACATTAGTCTGCTTTGAATTACAAATTAATGTAATTTTATAATGGAATTTATGCTCCGATTTTGTGAATTTAAAAAGCCCAACTTCTTTTTTTACCGGAAATTTAGAAAAAATATATATTTGAAATTGTCTGAATCTTGAGTCCAAGAATAGACCTACAGTCCTCGTCTAAACAAGTGAAGGTTCACAGGGGATCAGTTTAACAAAGGTATGCGACCCCACGGTGACATATAACGTGGGAGGAGTTTTGGGTACGTATTTTATAAAATAAATTTGGGAAAAGTCAAGGCGAAGTCTTGGTCGACGATTGATGCATGGCCTTCTTACTGTGCATTTTCGAAGTAAAGGAGTTGATGTCATGTCATAAGACTTACACTCCACTAATGCCGTCTATACATGACCTAACACTAATGTAGTTGTCATCACATAATAAAGTTGTGCGTTGTTACTCTTGTTATTCTCAAAGTTATACAGGCGATAGTACTTCAGGAATACAGGGTTGGTTCCCTGTAAGATAAATTCCCACTTCCTTCTCGTGTGACAGGATTACATCACGTGCAACATGAGAGCTTCAAATATATTCCTAGAAAGGAATGGGAGCGGAACAGTGTCATAACAACTCTGGGAAGTCTCCCAAAGTTAAATCTCATGGACAAATTTGTGGCTACACTTGGGCCCAAATGTTTTTTCAATTCTTGATTATATTTGCTGGATCTATGCAAAAATCCTCTCTGGGGATAAACAAAAAAGAACCGTGCTATTCAAAGTTTTGACACTTTCATAACAATGAAAGCACAGAAATGCATTCATTAATTTTTCCACGTAATTTGTGAACAGGTTCTTCTCTAATTTACTTATTTCTCAGGCATCTTTTGATCTGAGCTGAACAAGGAGGCTCAGAAAAAAAGGATTTTGAATCAGCAGATAATCAATGCAAATTACTACCCACTCCAGACAAACATCCTAATTGCATTTGAACCTCAATAACTCAAATCTACCCAAATAAAATACATTACTAAGCCAATTTTTCAAATTACCTCTCTGAACTTCTTAAAAAAGAATGCATTAAAAATCTTCCTAGCTCAAAGACTTCCCCCTAAAATCTGGTTAACTTGAATGTTCTGTTGGCCTTCTGGCTATCATTTCATTGACACAGGAAAGAGAGAAGCAATTAAAGTGT